TCAGTTACGTACAAATTCAAAGACAATCAAGATGCTAAAAATAATTATAGCCTGATCAACAAATCTATTATTCTTCGTTAGAAAGGGTTGTGATTTACTTATTCATAAAACATGGGTTCTTCTATAGTAATATCCATTCGGCAGACTAATAATTCATAATATTACTTAGATGCCACTACGAGCCATAATGTTGTTTATCCTGATATACCTTCACCAGTATATATTCAAGAACCATTTTCTAATTAAACAAAAGCAATTAATAAAATTTAAATATACTGAAACTTTTTATAAAATGTGAATTTTTACAAAATTTGTTTGTGAGGAAAATTAAAACCTCAGGAAACTTCAAGTACTGTTCTATCTAAAAATCATTTAAACTGCAAAGCATGTCTGTACTTATTCACAGACAAATCAACATCAATTAGTGAACAGAAGTAATAAATAAATGTATCAAATCAATTATACTAATTTGACAAACTAATAATTTGTTTTAAATTGCATTGAAGAAACAAACATTGTAAAGAAAACATTGGCTTTAAAACGCTCAACTGTGTGATATTTTCTGAGAATCACTTCTCCAGTAAACAAAAGTAACCCAATAATATTTAAATGTAATTAACTATTCATAATTTTACTAAAATAATCTTATAGTAACACAGCTGCGAAACTCAAGCACTGTTCTATCTAAAAATTCATTTAAACGTGCAGCATGTCGTACTTATTCACAGACAACACCTTCTCCAGTGAACAGAAGGTTAAACAAATAAATTTTAAGAGAACATACCATTATGCGACATGGTTATCTGTTGTACTAACTACATCTTAGCAAATTTGTGTTCAGCAGAACATTTGTGATATTATTATAATATTAGAGAAATTTACTATTGTCAAATTTGATTAAGAATATTATCTTGAAATTTCTATGTCTTTATTTATACTCACAACGGAGATAATACATGCGAGTATAACATTCCTCTTAAGGCTAACATCGCTATATATGTTTCGCAAAAGTAATAATTTAGTTTTAAAATTGTATGAAAGAAACAAACAATAGTAAAGATGCAAAACCATTGGTTTATTAAACGGTCAATCCTATGGTATATTTTCTGACGAATCACCTTCTCCAGTAAATAAAAGTAACTTAATACAATTTAAAATTTTAATGTAATCTAACTTTATGAATTTTACACAAAATAATTTTATAGTAACAACAAACACTCTGGAAACTTCAGTGCACATCTAAAGGTGTAGCATTTCATAATTTATTCACAGAAGAATCACCATCTCCAGTGAACAAAAGTAACATAATAACATTTAATATACTACTATTATAATTGTGTTGTCATATCGATATCAATAACTCTAACCTAAATCTTATGTCATAACGTTTTTTTATTCTATTTTGATATATTTGTAGGATGAAAGCAATTTAGTGTATTGATGAAAATATTTTGAAATTAAAGTCCTGAATTGTCGAATCATCTCTAACCAAGAGCGTATTTAATCAATGCTAGTCAATGGTAATAATTGCCCTGATAAGTCACTTGAAATAGAGCATTCATCCATTACAAAATTCCATTAAAACGTCAATGACGATCTTGATTATATTAAGGTCCTTCTTAACGGATGGATTCATTTTACCAATTTGCGTAAGATAACTTAAACTAATATTTACCATTACTGAATTTTATAAGTATATAAATTTTAATTGTAAAATTGCATCATATTTCGAGTACGGAGGATCAGACATTGGTACTTTGTAAAACCTGTTTGACATTCCTATTTACAAAACCTTTAGGAACAAATATTACAATACACCGGAAAATAAATAAATGTTTTGAATGAACCTAAATTGTCAATAAACATAAAATTATTTCGTGTTATTTGTGGTAGAGTAATAATTATTATTTTATTATAAATGGTTAAATTGTATATTATAAAATAATTCTCACAGAAACTGAAGAAAGCAAATTTCCAATAACTATATGGATGATATTGTTATTAAACAACTAGTAGTTGGCTACTGCATTCAAAAGAAAGGATGAAAAGAAAGAGGCTAATGCCTAAGAAGTTTTATTATTTAAATTAATAATTATTAATTGTGTTCTAAGGATACTTACAGTTATAAAGCTTTTTAATTGATATAATGTTATTCACTAAAATTAGTGTTATTTGATTATTATTATTAATTCTTTACAGTTCTCCCATCTGGTTATTACCTAATTGTCTAAAGCTAGTTTTGAAATTAATCCAAAATATGCCTAATCATGGCCCAGATTGATCCGGAAGCTACTGAAAATCTTTGTGGCGGTAGCCAAAATGGGAGCAAACATTACAAAAACCCCCAAATTATTAATATTAGGCTAAGTTATAGTATTCTAGTATTTAATACACATGAATATAATACCGTAGGTCTGGCAATTTAATCACCTCATGAATGGGCGCGTCTTATTGTAACTATAGATTGACTTGAAAATAGTATCAGAATGCCTAAACATTATATGCCAAGGTTATCCAGAAGTAGATTGTCATTGGTTAGGACATTAGGATTATAATGAGTAGTATGGATTTCCATTACTACACCTTAATACTCCGTGCCTGATTACTGGGGATCTCTGGTAATTCTAGTGCCAGCGGGCAATTGTTTACCGCGTCCTTGTAACTTTTTATTCAAAACAAATGTAATGTAGATTCAGAAAACATCAATTTTACAAGTCACTTGCATTAAAGTTTCAAATTCAGTCTTATTATCATGTAAAATAGGCGAATTCGCCAAACAATTTACAAATCGTTCTACTGATGTAGCCGGCTTAGCCAGCGTACATTATTGCACAATAAAGAGGCATCATATTCACAGTTAACATCATTTAAAATTTTAAATTTGTCTTTTATGCATATCACGAGCAACTATAAAATTAATATTAAACTGACAATTCTTAAATCACTTCCTGACTTTGAACACAACATTGTTGGTATGATGCAGTGAAACCAATTATTGATGTCCAATACTTTTCAAACTAACAAACTCCATTGATGCTATATATTGTTCCATCCGTCTAACAGAAATAATTTTTAAATTTATGTGAGTTTTTAATCATTGACAACAATATCACAAACATCTGTAATTCTTGTTCTTCTGGTATATTAAATAATTTAAAGTTCTACGCATTTCATCTCCGTTTGAAACGCGAAATTAATCTGCTATATTGATTTATATCTGTTCATCTAAACAAATCAGAAGAAATCACAACCATTAATATCAGACT